AGGAATGAGGGGGCAAGGAGTAGTTCAAGCCACATTCGAAACAGCAAAATCTGTGGCCTGAGGAGCCTCGAGAACAGTGCATTGTTACGCTTTCCAAGGAACCAGACCAAAACTCACAGACAGATTTCAGAAGGCCTGGTTTTGTCACGCAGCTTCACGTTTGGATTTTTAAGCCACCGTGGCTCACGTACCTGATGGGGATAATTAACATTGGTCTGCATAGTCTCCTTGAGGCTATCGGATCCATCCAAACTGTAGACTGCTCCCGTCAAATACAACTTGAAAAGACACAAAGAAAGCATTAATTCCAGATTGACAAACAAACAGAAAAGCCAGCTGCCCTTTTTTTAAAGAACAACACGCAACAAAAGAAGCTAAGTGGAGCAGCAGCCTTTTACAGTGCAGCGGGATCAGTAACAATAACGGCACAACACAACTAAAAGAAAAGTAATCCCTGTCAGTGAAGACGCAACTTTACAAGGAAAAAGATGACCTTTTTTCTAGTTTCCCACGTCCTTAATCACAGTTCACTGTGTAATTTTCTGAGGTCAGAAGCAAGACTTTCAGATCTCAGGGCAACACCTTTAAAGAAGGGAAGGGAGGGCGGGAATCTGGTCCTTATTGTAAGGGTGTTTTCTAGGAGACTGAACCTCAGTAGCCAGACCCGGTCTCATACTCCTGCTTTGGACACAAACCTGCAAGGCTCAAGTCAGGAGCCCACCTGCCTTAATTGGCTATAAGGGTATCTGCTGGAGATACCTTCATGGAAGGATTAGGAAACCATGCACGTACCAGTTGTTCAGAAATAAGCCCAGACAAATACAAAGTACTCCTCACCTGGCCATCTTTGAGCACGGCGTTGACAGCGACAGGGACGCTACATCCACCCTCCTAAAACAGAAAGCTGCTGACAACACGGAGGATCCTGCCTGACATTTTCAAAGCAAAGGCCTCTGGAAAGTTTAGGCTACACACAACCCCACCTATCATCCTCCAGGCCTGTCTCAATTCAGAAGTAATCTCTGTTAACGTTTTCCTAAAACTACGAACTAGATTTCCTGTACTACGGCAAACGGGTCAACTAGCGCAGCAGTTACTTGCTGCTGCAGGCAGAAAGGCAAAGATGTCACACCTACCAAACGCTTCATAAAGGCTCTCTCGGCAATGCAGCATAACACAGTGTCTGTGTCATGCAGGGCAGATACCATATTCAGTATCTCTTGGTCTTTGGCACGAACTTCCACTGCTAAGGCACCCTGTAAGAAGAAGAAAAAGAATATATATCACAATCATCATAGTAATTCCTCAACTTCAGGCATCTCTGCAGGCACTCGGCATTGGTCGTGAAGCGAACTCGGAGGCTTAGACACATTTCAGTAAGGAAAGGATGTTTAGATGTTTACAGAAACGAATTACAGAACAATCCACTGGTTACAGAGACACCCTACAGCAGCTGCCATTAATGTGAAGATCAGAGCTGACTTCAGCCAAGTGTTCACACCGTCGTCTCAAACCACTGCAGAGCCTACCACACTTGTGACCGAATGTACAGAAAACGCCCACCCCGATGTCCCTTCACGACAAGAAGGCCGGAGAAATCCGAGCTTCCCAACCTCTCTCCGAGATAAAGACTAGGTGCTGAATGAGTAACAGTGACAAAACAATACTTCACTACACTGGAAATGAAATTGGGGGGAGGAGGGGGAGGGGAAGGAACCACCTAGTACCTGACAAACGCACGAGCAAAATCACAATTTCAGACTGAATCTGCAGATTTGTTACTTGCAATCGCTAATGCACAGCCAGCTCTGGTTTAATGAGTTTGATCCTCGCTGAGCAATACTGTGCAAATTCGGCCCCACGGCCAGCATGGGCTGGAACGGTTTGCCTACCTCGAAACGAGAGCACTAAGAACGTGCTCCAAGGCAGGTGTTTCAGTTCCACCCTACCCAAGCGAGGACGCCCCGCGTAAGGCAGATCAAGCGAGCACCACAGGGCAAAGATACAGCAGTGGCTGTGCACAATTATCCTTGTACAGCACAACGCTGACCCTGCCAGAGCATGCCCCGTATCTGCCGCTTTGTCCCAGCACAGCTGTGCCACGTGGTACCTTTACCGGGCACTGTTTTTCCATTAGGGATGGAAATCAGTCCCCACCAAACTCGGTAACTAAGCTGACCGCCATTCTTCCCACAAGCTGTGCCTAAAATAGCGTAAATGCCAACAAGAGATCAGTGTAGTAGTTCTTTAGCGACCAAGACACCAGAACTATCCAGCACAATTAACTACTCTAACACATGGTACCGCTGCCGGCTTTTAATACGCAGACTTACAGCTAGGCTAGGAAGTATGGCTTAAGATACGAAGTTGTGACATACCTGTCCAACAGCATACAGACAATCTTCAGGACTCAGGAGCTAGAAGAAAGTAAAATCGGAGTTATCTCAAGTCACACTGTTCAAACTAAAGGAAGTGAGAGCTTCTGCGTTCACCTCAACATCAATTGGGGTTTTTTGCCTGACCAACAAAGTAACCCTTTCTCCTTCCTATGCCTGCGTTCTCACCCGCAACGTGAGATAATGCACGTGCCTTCACCTGGACTGTAACGCTTTCTTAGCTAGCCAATCGGAAAAATCTCAAGTCACGCTCGCTGCCATGTTGCTAGACACAAGTATTGTGAAATGCTGAGGTGATCGGATTGCAAGCTGCCACTGCACCATGGAAAGCTGAACAGTGTAAATTTCTGTAGCAAGAAAACAAAAACAACCAACAAAAACCCCAAAACAAAATAACTCCCGCCCCCACTCCGTGAAGCACATCACATCACAAGCTAAGGTGGCAATGGATTCAGCAGACTGCATACTCATCTTTGACAGGGCAACTGCAAGGTCTGGAAGGCAAGCAGTCGACAGCTCGGCGGAGAATGGATTTTTGTGCTCCTCACCTGGCCAATGCGATTCTCCCAGCCCATTCTCTTCAGCCCAGCAGCAGCCAGGATGATGGCACTGAAGTCTTCCTTCTCATCTAGCTTCTTTAGGCGGGTATTTAAATTCCCCCTCTGCAGAACTGATTAAGGAAGCATAGAAACAGAAGGTCAATAGTTCCGTAACCGGTTAACAATCGCCTGAGGGAGTGTTTGGAATGCAGCCTCCAAATGAGGAGCGGTCAGAGTGCCATTCTGAAAGAAGCGTTCAACACGGACAATTATTTCTTTAGATAGAATTTTGCCAAACATTACGGAATATTAACTCAAGCACCGACTCTCAAAGACATGCACGTCCTTTAAGTACCTTATTAACACCCGACACCAACTCCATTTGCGTAGCGAAGGACTAGGTCAGTAGGACTCAAGTAACGGTGCCTATTACCGCTGGTTC